ACATAGCATCATACAAGGTCTCTTCCCTAACCAGAAATTGAGGGATTGTTTCTTGGGGTTTTCTACTCAAACGCCTATAGTATGCTGAAAGCTGCCGACCTGCGTCTGGGATCGGTTGACGGTTCATGGGAGAGGCTTCCAAGAAAGCTATCAACTTGCTCACTGCATCCTCTGACGTGAAATCCGAAGGATCTAGTTTATAAGCCAGTGATTTCAGTGATGGGTAATCGCTCTCTAGGATCTTGCGAACTAGCCTAGCTGCTGCGTATGGTCTCTCACTTGATTTCGTTCCCGCCAAATGCCACTTGATTTCCGTCACATAATGGAAGAACGTTTCCGGTCTGCCATCCCACGTGGGAACCCTGTTCCCTGAGCCTCTATCCTGCTCCTTGCTGATCATACTTGAAGACATCTCCGCAGTCACTGAAATCTTGTGTCAGCAAACCACAAAGAATTGTGGGTTTTGGGAGGTTCACTCCCAGGGAGAAACAAAAAGGAAAAAAATCACTAAGGCCCTGATCTTCTCAGCTCCGCGGCACCAATGAATCTAGCCGCGTGAAGTGGTGTAGATTGGGAAGTTGCTAAAGCAAAGGAAACACGAAATCAAAAGGAAATGCAAGTGAATCCCATGGCGAAACTTTTCCGCGATAGCACGACCCGTATTGGTTTGAACTCAAAGGGCGCCCCTGCAATGGCGCACATGTATTTGCTGTGACGAGGATATCACTTCACCATCATGAAAGCTGGCTCGCAAGACAGACATGGTGACCTCTGCCACGGATAGCAAATGGTATGCTGAAGATCAGACATGTCACTATGGTGGACCTGACAAAGATCCATGAAACAGATGTTATGACTTGGCCTTTCTGGCAAGATTGGTTTTCGACACTTTTTACATAAACCCTTAAAAAAAAAAACTAGGGGGAAAAAAAAACTAAATTAACCCTAAAGAACCCTTCAAGAAACGCTGACAAAACCATGTGAAAGTGTACATAGTGAAGTGTGGGGCGTACCGCACATGCTGAGGGTAGCCGGGGCACCCCACGTTGTAGGCTTAGATAGCTTGGAATTCGATCACCAAAATGAATCCACCAATGGAGATTAAAGGAGGATACTACTAGATATAATGGGCATACAAGTTTTTTTTAATGCGATTGAATGGGATATTTGTATATAGATATATATATATATATACATATACATATAAACAACATTACATTCGACCTATATAGATGGAACAGATAAGGAGTCAATGATTAGATTGAGATAAGATAAAATAAGATCATGTAAGATTAACAAATACATGAAATCAAAACTAGACGACTGTTGGCCCGAGAGCGAGTAGGTGTATAGGTACTCAGATGTGTTATGTAGTTGTATGATTTGCAGACGCCGAAGACTTACATGAATATGTTCATGAGAATGTTATTTGAGATCATGTGACTATGTTCATTATGTATAGATGTCAAGATAAGAAGATGTGAAGATGTCAGGGTTTTAGTTGCAAGAGACAAACAAGGTATGTTGTATAGAAGATGTGAAAAATACAATTATGGAGATATGCTGATAGGCTCTCAAACACAGACACACGCAGAGAAACATGTTTACATATATATACACACAGACACACACACACACAAACCCACACACACAGAAGCTTTTACACACAACAGTTTTTTACACACAGAAGCTTTTGCACACAGAAGTTTTCTACACAGAGACACTTTTACACACAGAGGCTTTTACACACAGAAGCTCTTACACCCAGAAGTTTTTACACACAGAAGCATTTACACACATTTTTTTTACACACAGCACCTTTTACACACATAAGCTTTTATACACAGACGCTTTTACACACAAACGCTTTTACACACAGACGCTTTTACACACCGACGCTTTTCCACACAGGCGCTTTTACACACAAAAGCTTTTACGCACAGAACCTTTTACACACAGACCCTTTTACACACAGAAGCTTTTACTCACAGACACTTTTACACACAGAGACGTTTTTACGCACAGCACGCGTTTACACACAGACGCTTTTACACACAGAAGTTTTGTACACACAGACACTTTTACACAGACGCTTTTAACACAGAACCATTTACACGCAAAGCTTTTACACACAGAAGCTTTTAGTTTTACACACAAAAAGTTTTTACGCACAGAACCTTTTACACACAGACGCTTTTACACACAGACGCTATTACACACAGAAGCTTTTACACACAGAAGCTTTGACACACAGAACCATTTACACACAGACGTTTTTACACACAGAAGCTTTTACACATAGAAGCTTTTCCACACAGAGCTTTTACGCACAAAAGCGTTTACACACAGACGCTTTTACACACAGACGCTTTTAAACACGGACACTTTTTACACACAAACGCTTTTACACACAGAAGGTTTTTACACACAGACACTTTTACACACAGGGGCTTTTGCACACAGAAGCTTTTACACAGAGAAGCCTCTACACACAGAAGCTTTCACACACACAAAAGGTTTACACGCAGAAGTTTTTACACACAGACACTTTCACACACAGGGGCTTTTACACACAGAAGCTTTTACACACAGAAGCTTTTACACACAGACGCTTTTACACACAGGCAATTTTACACACAGAAGCTCTTACACACAGACGCTTTTACACACAGAAGCTTTTACACACAGAAGCTTTTACACACAGAAGCTTTTACACACAGAAGCTTTTACACACAGAAGCTTTTACACACAGACGCTTTTACACACAGAAGCCTCTACACACAGAAGCCTCTACACACAGACACTTTTACACACAGCCACTTTTTCGCACAGAAGATATTACACACAGAAGCTTTTACCTTTACACACAGAAGATTTGACACACAGATGCTTTTACACACAGACGCTTTTACACACAGACACTTTTACACACAGAGGCTTTTACACACAGACGCTTTTAAACACAGACGCTTTTTTACACACAGACGCTTTTACACACAGAAGGTTTACACACAGACGCTTTACACAGAAGCTTTTACACACAGACACTTTTACGCACAAACACTTTTACACACAGCGCTTTTACACACAACCAAACTCCCAAAAAACATCAAAAAACTTTCATTTTTTGACACTCGAACCTCGTTTCGTGCGAAAAGGTTGCCGCCGGACCAACCAAGAAAAACATCAGTTTTTGACACTCGAACCTTGTTTCGTGCGAAAGGACTGTTGACGGACCAACCAAAGTCTCAAAAAACCCTCAGTTTTGACACTTGAACCTCGTTTTGTGCGAAAGGGCTTGCTGTGGAAGTTGTTCAATCGCAATTTTACCATAGTTTTTGACACTCGAACCTCGTTTCGTGCGAAAGGATTGCCGCGGAAGTTGTTAAATCGCAATTTTACCCCAGTTTTTGACATTCGAACCTGGTTTGGTGCGAAAGGATTGCCGCGGAAGTTGTTAAGTCGCAATTTTACCACAGTTTTTGACACTCGAACCTCGTTTCGTGCGAAAGGTTTGCCGCGGAAGTTGTTTAATCGCAACTTTACCGCAGTTTTTGACACTCGAACCTCATTTCGTGCGAAAGGGTGGCCATATCGTGGCGCCCCGTCGGCACTGCCTGCGGCCTTAAGAGAGAAAAGAAAAAGAAGGATAGAGACCGTGACAGAGGGCAAGAGAGAGAGAGAGGGAGCGAGCCAGAGAGAGAGAGAGAGAGAGAAAGAAAGAAAGAAAGAGAGAGAAGATTGAAGATGTGAAGATGAGAAGATGCGAAGATGAGAAGATGTGAAGATGAGAAGATGAGAAGATGTGAAGATGAGAAGATGTGAAGATGAGAAGATGAGAAGATGAGAAGATGTGAAGATGAGAAGATGAGAAGATGAGAAGATGAGAAGATGTGAAGATGAGAAGATGTGAAGATGTGAAGATGAGAAGATGAGAAGATGAGAAGATGTGAAGATGAGAAGATGTGAAGATGTGAAGATGAGAAGATGGGAAGATGAGAAGATGAGAAGATGTGAAGATTTGAAGATGAGAAGATGTGAAGATGTGAAGATGAGAAGATGAGAAGATGAGAAGATGTGAAGATGAGAAGATGTATAGCAGACCCCCACTTTTAGAAGAAACCCTCGCGCAGATGCTCTCGGGAATAAAAATAAGATAAGATAGGTCATCATGTACATCCTTATTTTATCTGAGCGTACGGAAAGTATGTAACTACAGTGTATATTTATATATATGCATATATTTTCATTGCAGCAACACAAAGAATAAACATGATGGTAATACATCAGTTGTACATACAATACATCTATGACAATATTGTATCATACATTCGGCATGTATATACCTGTAGTTTAAAGATATATATATACTACGATACATACACACATACATACATTACAGTACATTACATCATTAACATTAACATTAACATTAACATTACATTACATTACATTACATTACACATGACATTACACATTACATTACAGATGACATTGCAGATGACATTACACATTACATTACACATGACATTACAGATGATATTACACGTTACATTATATACATATTACATTACATATTACATTACACATTACATTACACATTACATTACACATTACATTACACATTACATTACACATTACATATTACATTACATATTAAATTACATATTACATTACACATTACATTACACATGACATGACATGACATGACATGACATGACATTACATTACATTACAGTACATTACATTACATATTACATATTACATATTACATTACATATTTCATTACATATTACATTACATTACATATTACATTACATTACATTACATCACATTATATTACATGTCATATTACATTACATTACATTACATTACATTATATATGTATATATACGTTGTATATTATATATGTGTGTGTGACATTATGTGTGTGTGACATTATGTGTGTGTGTTCTGTGTATATATATATATATCATACCATCTCAACAACTCGAAGTCACCTCCGTAAAGGTCGCGAAGGCCCTCCGTTGGTCGTCGCCCTTGGGCGACAGCGCTGCGGGTCCCGCTGCGCCGGGTTCCACGTCCCAATGCGCTACGGGGCCCGAAGGGTTCTCCACCACAGAGGCCTTGAAGTGACGACCTCGGCCCCGGGGGATGGGGATGCAATTGTTGGTTGATGGTGTTTTTAATGGTGTTTAATGGTGTTTAATGGTGTTGAATAACTAGTGTATTTTATGGTGTTTGATAGTGTTTTGATGGAGGTTAATGGGGTTCTAATAGTGTTCTAATGGTGTTTAATGGTGCTTCAATGGGTTTTTTTAATGGTGTTTAATTGAAATTTAAGATAATGTACCTCCGGTGTCATCAAACGTGGCTGGCTGCAAAATCCAGTATTTAGTTCGATAATTTTCCAACCGAACTAAACGTCCATTTATAGGGGATTTTCAGTTGCCATGTTTGATTACCCGAGGGTAAGGGAAAATCTACAGGAAAGCATCGTTTGTACCCACCCCGTTGGGGTTCCTGTAACTCTTCCCAACCAATTCTGAGAAATTGAGTATATATATATATATACGTATATACATACACTATTTCAAGCAACAACATATGGGATTTCAGAAAGAAACAATATGTATGGCTTTAACGGACAAGTAGGATTTAGCCAAGAAAATCTGGGAATTGAGAAGGAAACTCGGGATAAATTTGAATTCATGAACCTTCAATGGTCAAATCAATAGTCTTGCCCTTCACTAGTCTCACCCGTGGCTGGAAAATAGCAGATGTTTGAAGATGATTCTCCTATTGAAACTGCGGATTTTCCAGTCAGGTTACTGATGGGTAAGTGTGTTGCAGTGCAAAATGATGGATCCGTAAAAACAATTACGAAGCCACCAAGTTGGCCAAAATCGTAGACCTCAACGTGCTCGAGGATAGGGCTCAAAATCGATCCTGATCCCTGATCCCTTCCCATAAATGGTCCAAAATGTCCCTGTTTCATCGCTACTTGTGTTGATTTTGGTGATAGTTCCCATTAAATCCCTATCATATCCCCATCAAATTCTTGTTTTTTTTCTCTCAGATTCTTAGACTTTCCGGGACCTCGCCACCCGGCTGGTGCCCTGTGGCTGTGCCATCCGAAGATGTCCAGATAGATGGCAGCTCGGAAGGAGACTGGCAGCTCCAGATTCGCCAGCACCGGACGGGACACCTCGCTACTAGCGATGGCAAGCTGGGGATGTTGCGCCCCAGTGGCATGGGCCGGGGACATGAATCCAAGCACCAACAAAAAACATTGAGATATGATCAGATATTTTTTGTAACCCAAAGCAAAAATAATGCAAAGATGTTGTTTCACTGGCAATGTGGAGCGTTGCAGATAGTATTCTTTCCAAGCTAAGAAGCGAAGAGGATGATCACGATCCAAAGCATATGACCTTGGGCGATGCTTTGAATTGTTTCGATCCAACCCCTGGGTGTCCCAAAATTCCCTAAATTCCCAGGCCCAAGATGAATAGATCGAACAGACCAGGGTTCAATTTGGCTATTTGAGATTCCGGGAGATGGGAGAAGGAATTCCTTTCCACCATGCGGTTTCCTAAAAGACTTGCCATGATGTCATTGTATGTCATTGTTGCATCTTCTGCAAAGCCAATATCTACCCCAGCAAGTGTCCATCAGGCGACAGCAGATCAAAACCCTGCCCCAAAATGGGCAACTTGTTGCCCTCTGGTAATCAAACAAGGCCATGCCACACCCCCCATGCATGACTGGTTGGTGGTTTGAACCCCTCTGAAAAATAGCAGTCAGTTGGGATTATATATTCCAAACCACCAACCAGATGAGCATTTGATTCCAAAAAAAAAATGTTTGAGTACTAGATTGTAGTCAGATAGGGCCCTCGGTCGAACAATGAAGACCTTGCCCAACACACAGATGGGTCAAAATCTTTGGTCTTAATCGTCCCAAAGTTCCGTGGCAAATCTTGACCAGTTGCCACGGCCGATCCACTCTTCATTTCATAATTCACAAGCTCTGAATAATCGTTTCATGAATCAAATATCATTTCGTGAGGGGATCTGCCTAATCATCCAACAAGCATCCCAAGCCAGCTGGCTAAATGATCAGTCGATGGCTGATACCCGCAACTTCATGGTTAATGGTGCCACTTGCGGATCACCCTCCAATTTTTGTCACCCCGGAACACAAACATCTTGAACAAAAACGAGTCTAAAAGTGGCTTCAGATGAAATTCCCCATAGTTCCAGTTCCATCCATATCCCCTAGATGTTCCCATTTTTCCCTATGTTCCTTAGGTTTTCCATTTTTTCCCCCAGTTTTTCCCTTCCCCAGTTTTTGCCCTCGAAAAATTTCCACCCCAAGCCGCTGGCGCAGGCCAACAACGCCACAATCCACGGTAGCCACACGGGCACCAGCTGATCACAGGCTCGAACGCCTCCTTCAAAGGTCGCCATGAATGGTTTTTTGTAATGGTGAATGTTTAATGTCAAGAAAAATGGTGAATGAATGCTTAATATCCATAATTCATGATGATCAATGGTTGATTAATGGTTGATTAGTGGTTAAGAAACATGAATAATCGTTTAAGATGGTTTAATTAATCAGAATGAAAAAAGGCGATGTTTAATGATCGTTTATATAATGGATGGTTGATGATTGATGATGGATGGTGATGGATTATTATTCAGAATGGTTGATTCTTAGGTTATTCACGAGTATTAATGGTTATCATTAATGATGCTTGATGATTGTTTATGACTAAGAAATAAACATTAATAATGGTTTAGTTTAGCCAGTAAACATTAATGGTGTCTAAGGATTACTGAACTATGGCATTCATACTGGTTAGGAATTGTTTATTATTGTTGATGGGCATTGTTAATGCTTATTAATGGCTATCAATGGTTATTTCGCAATTATTAATGGTTATCATTAGTGAGTATCAACCGGCGATTAATGGTTATTGGCTTAACGGTTACTCATGGTTACTAATGATGGTTAAAGGGTGGTAAAGATATAATCAATGGAGAATGAGTGATGCTTGAGAATGGTTAAAAGAATGGTTAATCGGCAGCGGTGAGAATTAATCAATTGCGTTCAATAGATATTTAACAAGTTGTATGAATGATTAATAACAATGGTGCATGGCTAAGAATGATTGGCTATTATGTGTGTTCATACTAACCACTAGTGGGCGATACTATGGGATAAGTCATAATAACTAACCACTTGACTGGGTTATAGTTCATGGGTTGACAAGTGGTTTATCGCCCTTTAAAGCGGGGAATATGCCATACATCGCTTGGTGAAATCACGGTTATGAGCCAAAACGGATCCTAACTGGGATGCACCCCCAAGCAGCTGATATGAGATATGAATTGATATCAGGATGTCTGGAAATTGGGTATACCGCAAAAAAAAATGTTACTTTAATAGGTAACCTGATGATTCACTAAATTGATTGAATAAGGTTCACTATGTTCAGACGAATCCATATCATGTCATATCATTTCTAATAGTTGATATGAGTTGACCGAAAAAATGAATGTGATAATGTGATATGCATAGGTCATTTACAATCATATATAATATAGTTGTGTAGTTGTATAAGAGATGCAAATTCTAAAGCGTGTTTTAAAAGATAAACCAGTTTTTAGCCCTTATGGATCCAAGTACTGTTGCTTCTCAAGAAGCATACAGTGTGGAGTATGAATTAGCGGATTAGTTGTACTTTCTCAGGAAGTATATGGATCCAGAGGGACTTATCTCTTGTTGGTTGAAATCCCAGTTTCGAAAAGTCCAAAAATCATTGTTTGACCATGGCTCAAAAATTAGGTACCAATTCACCCCCTTAAGAGCCGATTCCAACTGAATGTTTTACCCACCAAAATGTGTTGGCTGTTCATCGGCATGCTGATTGGTTCATATCTCTCCATGTGTTTTGCATTAATCTCCATGTTTCTTGGTTCTATATGGGTATGGGTCAAAACCCTGGTAGTTCACATCAACATCGCTGGTAAATGGACCTTCCTCCCATGGTACCACAGGTATTGACCTATCTCCAGATCCAAAACCAGAGGTTTTTCGGATGTAATTCTTCTGCTTGACCAGCCAAAAAAGTAAGGATTTGACTTGACGGCGCAAAATCGCGATGGAGTTCTAAAACTTGGGTCTACTTCTGATCTTCCAGCACTAAAGGGCTAAAAATCCTAGTATATCACCTTGGTAATCTCAGGGAATGGCTAAGAAATGGCTGTTTGGTGGTATTCACCACCCATTTCAAAAATATTGCCTAGAGCCAGTACGAAGACGTCATCTCATTTGTACAAATGCAACTCTACGATGAAAACATCTTGAAACCGCCATTCAGATAGCCATTTTTGCTGGGAAATTAAAACTAGATCACATGCCTCCAGTTATTTTTTTCCAACAAATCAACCCGTCAGAAATCCCACATCACCTAACCTTCCGCCCTGGCTCCCGCCGCCTTCACCGTACATCGTGCGCATGTTGAAGAGTTGCGTCGCTAAGCCCGCGAGCATCGGCGCCAGCCAAAGTCCGGCCTGCACCAAAAGCCTTGGAAAAAAGCGATATGTCGAAGTTGAGTCGGATAGACAAACCATCAAAAAATTGGAAGCTTACTATTAGATATTATTAGGTTTACCACAATACCCACACTAAAATCCTGTGTGGTGCTCAAATTTCAAAAAAAAAACAAAATCATCTAAGATCATCTAAGTCTATGGCTTCTATGGCTTGTGTGGGGAGTGTAAGTTGATAAAATTGTGGAATTGCCACTACCACAACTTGGCCGTAATCTGAAAATCGTTGCTGCTTTGAGTCCCAAATACATGGAAAAACCATGGAAAAAAACATGGTTTCCCAAGGGAAGGGATCTACAAGTAGTGGGTCGTCCATATGCTAACTTACGGGTATTCGATGATAAATTCCCATGTTCAGTGCTTGTCTGAGCACCTCTGACTTCTTTTCATGTACAAGTCCAGCTTGAACAGGATCCACACGGCGTAGACCCCCATCAGAAGCGCCAGCCAAGCCCCTTCGGTGTTTTGTACCGGCGACGGCCAGCCTGTCCGAGTTTTCTGGGTGGCACCCGGGCATTAGGGATCAGTTTAAGCTGGGAAGATGAACCACCAGGCGTTTTCTTATTGACCAGTTAGTAGCTGGGATTGTCTTCTTTCAAGTAAAACTTGAGATTCCATGATCATGGTCATGCATTCACTGGTAAGGCATCCCTGGAAATGGGGAGATTTCATTCCAACATCTACCCGGTCTCATCAGTTCCATGGCTGGAACATCACCAGGTCACCAGCTACCAGCTTCGGGTCAGCGATCTTTGATCTCCTGAAGTCTCCGGATCAGCTTCTGTCACGCTGCTTGCCTTATACTAGGTTACTAGATGTCTTGCAAACATGTTTATTCTAAGTGTTGCTCTCAAATTGTCCATGTGCAACAAAAAAATGCAAAAAACAAGTAAAGCAAATTCCCAATAGCAGTGACGATTGGTTTCAATCTCAGGTCCAGAGTTAAGCCGTTGCAGCCAGATTCACGTTTCGATTGACTTTTGCTTGTGATTAGAGTTACGTTACGGGTGGGTACGGGTGGATCATTCTGATTCTAAGTCCAGTTTATACTATGATCTCATATGGAGGTTTCCATAAATGGGGGATCCCCACTAGCTGGATGGTTTATAATGGAAAATCCATCTACAAATAGATGATTTAGGGCTACCCCCATTTTAGGAAACCTCCATATGGCTCTATCTCCTCAACGTGTTACCAGCCTTGAGACTTGGACATGAAGTGCCCCAGGGCAAAGTAGGACTCCACCAACACCATCTGCTGCGCACTCACCGCCAAACTAATCCTGCTGCAACCAGAACCGACCGGAACTACCCAATGTCACATGGGAACCCCCAAAAAAAACACTGGATTTCATAAATGGGGATACGGGATACCCCAATAATCCCCAATAGCCGGATGGGGGAAATCTTACGCAAAATCCGAAAATCACATGGATGATTAGGGCTAGTCCCAAGTCCATTTGGAAGATGATTTTCCTACCCTTTTTTCACCATGACAAAAAAGGTTCTTAATGCTAAATTTAGTGGGTGTAACCCTCGGAGATTCTGTTTGGCTATGAGTCTATGAGTGCATGCTTTCCTTCCTTTGTTAACACCTCTACCAATGAGGCTGCTACACGGGTAGGACACACAACTTGCCTGCCAGGGAAGCAAAAACAACAGGTCTGTTGGAAAGTCCATATTTCAACATGATCCATTTCTCACTTGGGATCATCGAACACCAATCACTTATCATAAAGCCTTGACAAATGCGGGTTTCCATAAATGGGGGAAAAAAAGGTGGGTGTGTCATGGAAAATTCGAAAATGGATGACTTAGGGGTACCCCCATTTCAGGAAACATAGGAAACTCATTAAATGATGATCTCTGAGTCATTTTCCCCATTTTAAAAAGGGACAGCATTTCCACCCAGGCTCCGCGCGTAGGCATCAAAGCAGGCGTAGCCCCGCTGCACCCGTCGCAGCATCCAGAAATGCGAATAGAGCGCTGCCGCGCGGCCAGGACCTCCGTCATCCTGCGCAAGCCAGGACCATTTCGAATGGGGAATATGAGGGAAGGGATTCACCCAGTGAACCAATGTGTTTTCGCGGATATTTATATAAGATTATATAGCTTCTATATACTTCTATGATCTTGCATGACTTAGTTGCTCAATTCAACACTAATCGTTGATGCCCTGCAAAAAGAGAAAAGCTTAGCTGGGTATTGTTTATATTGCCCCGTGGATGGTCAAGGAACTGGGACAGGAGGCTGTGCCATCTGCTCCCCTTGCCATCTCGGGTTCAATGAGGCATCTGTGGACCCGCAAAGCCTTTTGTCATTCGATCTATTCTTGTCATCCGAACAGTTTGAGGTCTTCGCAACCTCAGAAAATTTGAGCCAAAAGCAAAATTGATTTCCCATTTCCAAGCTCTGCTGCCTGAAAATTTAGCAGAAAGACTCTTCTCGCCATTCTGGAATCAATTCAATCACCTCGTTAATGAAACTCTGACACGTACCTCATCTTCGCTCGAACTTTGGCAGATGAGATACCCATGGCTATACTACTAATTATTTGGTATCCTATTTCAAACAACCCTTACCCATCCACAGTCATCATCTACCATTCACCAAGGGCTCCCCCAGGGCCCCTTGAAGCCGCCCCAGCTATGCCCAGCTATGCCCAGCTATGCCCAGCTATGCCCAGCTATGCCCAGCTGTGCCCAGCTATGCCCAGCGATGCCCAGCGGGTCTTCCCCGGCTCCTGGGTATTGAGCCGCTTCAACACGTCCTCACTGGCATGAGCCGATTCATCCAGCCATTGCAGGTTTTCCAGCTCCGGCGGGGTGCCAAGGTGGCTCCTGCAACTAGGAAACTGGAGGCCATCTTCAAAAAGTGGGATCCTATCTATCTATCTATCTATATATATATATATAGCATCCCAGTCATAGAAAAGTTGGAACAAAGTTGGAACCCTGGAAATTTGAGGTGGCACACCGAACTCGGCATCTTTTTGAGGTTGCCAGATGTGACCACCAAGTTGTTGCCTAACAAACAGGGGCTTAACAGCAAGAAATGGGGCTAAAGACTGATGGGACTTGGTAAATTAAATCAATGGAGTTGCCATCCACCCAACTAACATAGACCGTGAGGAATTCTTCCAACCCCCTATTTGGATTTGGCAGGGTCTATTTAGCTGGGGATGGTATAGCCATTGTCCAAAAAGTGCATTTTACCATATGTTACCCAAACCAAAGAATTGATTTTACAGTACCGGGAAGTTGGAGATGTCACCTCAAATTTTGCCTGGTTTGGAACTCCGGTTGTTCAATACCAATTCTCCACATCTCTTGGGTACTTGGCGGTTCTTTTTTCCATGCTGAAGAGTATCCACCCATGCTGCTTACTCAGTGGGTAGTGATAGTAGTGAAGCTTGAGAAGGGCTTGACTACATAGTTTAATGTTGTGAGAAGATTGAGAAGGCGCTGAAGTCAGCACTACTGGTTGAGGTGATTCAAGAATTATCTCCTTTTCCTCCACCGCTGAAGTCAGCATTACTGGGTGAGGTGATTCAAGAATTATCTCCTTTTCCTCCACCATGAATGATAATTGGCAGCGGTGCCCACCAATTTTGCGGGAGTCGTTCCGGTACAGCTTCTAAATCCAGCCCACCCCTTTCAGGGCATGTCCACATGCAAAATATCACTGTTTCGGTGATATTCCCCATCTGTTGGGTAAATCCATTTCTTATCAAAGGAAACTTGCCAATTAAATTTGGTTTCTTATTTACCTGTGTTTGTTCTGTGAAAGTGGTACGCGTAGCATTTCCTATTCTTTGCCCCGTGTACGTCCAAATTCCCTGACATTACCTTCCACTGCGCCCATGGCTGTTGGATGTTCATCTGCATGTCGGCTGATTTGTATCTGCGTGCTTCTTGATTTACGTCTCCATATTTCTTGTTGTATATGGGTGTGGGTCAAACCAAAATACCTTAGTTCTCACCAAATACCGCAAATAGATACGCAATAGTACTCAATCCCCTAAACATGGTTCCATAAGTATTAGCCCAAATATCCTTTGGATCACTTTTGCTTGCAAATGACCCCCAGATTTGGATAGTTGCTCTCAGAGGGTCTAAACCCAGTATTCTAAGGCAATCTCCTTGGCTCCTTGGGATTTCGCCACGAACTTCTGATAGATCCGTATGAATTTCGGATGGTTTTCAGTGTTTGTTCATATCATTGTTCATCTTCCCAAAGCTTATCAACCATCAACCGTTTGTTCATTGTTCATTTCTTGAATGTGTTTTTCAACATCATCTCAAAGTTCAAGCATCAGCCCATCAACCCCCATCGTTACGGAAATTTTTGGGGGGTGCCATTTTCCTCGTGTTTTTTTCCAGGAAATCCATTTTTCGGAAATCCCCATGGTCCCAGCTGCCCCCAGCATCGTGCCTGTTGCGGCGAATCACCGGCACAGAGGCGGCGCGGCGCAGGCTGCTGACGTTTTGGCTCACAAAGTCGCTGCGCGGCAGCTGAGAATCCTCCATGAAGCTCGGCACCTGCAGCGCTGGCGCGCCAGAGATGGTCCATGGTCCAATGGGTCCAATGCTGAAACGGGAACGTTTCATGAAACATGTAAACAAAAATGATCATTCTGATTTGAAGGATTTTTGAGCCTCAGTTGGGCTGGGATCGTCAAATTCAAACATATAATTTTATGTAAGTCGAATGGCTTGAAGTTTAAGTTCAGCTTTGGGGGTGGTTTCAAAAAATATCAATCGATGATTTTGACGAGCCCGGATGAGGGACCCACCCAGGATGACCCAAACTCCCCTCAGTTTTTTGAGGTCACAAAATTGTCACGAACCAACACCTCTAAATGGTGATGTTTGAAAATGGGTATACCCTTCCAGTGATGGCCATTGATGAGAATAGACCATTGGATTTTGAGGTCCCCTAAGTTCAGACAAACCCTGGTCTGGGGTAAATCCGGTGGTTGAATTTTCCCTATTATCCAGTGGTTTAGAAAAGAAGACCATAACTGGGTTAAACCCCCACATGGTCACTTTCTGACTTGCTAGGCCTGCGCAAAGTTGCTGGGTTGCTTCTCATAATCCTCGAGCTGCTGGAGAGCAGAGATTTTTTGTGGTTTCCGACCGTCTTGTGGGTCATGTGCTGAATAGATGGATAGATAGAATACAACAGACTAGAACTATAACACCGAAATCCCTCTCGGAAACCAAATTCAGGATTTTCTAATGATTTGAATATGGTTTTGATATGATTTGAAGATAGGAATTTGATACGTTTTGAATTTGGAGTTATGATTTCGATATGGTTTTGTTATGTTTGATATGGTTTGGGTTATGGTTCAGATATGGTTTTGGAACGTTTTGAATATGATTTTGATATGGTTTTGATATGGTTTGGGAACGGAGCGCCTTTTTTAGGGTTCCCGATGGGTTGGTTTCAAAAAAGGGAACAGAAACAGCCCCGGGACAGGCTTTTGGTCGATTTTTCGAGGGTGTAAGAGGTTTTGATATGATTAAGATGTGGTTTTGATACGGTTTTGATACGATTGTGAGGGTGAACTTGTGTTTTCCCAAGTTGAGCCCAAACCATTGAGGAATTCGCATTTCCTCACCTAAAAGCAAGCCAATCAGGTGCACAGCAGACCACATGTGCAAATGACAAATGTCTCAATTTGCATGAAAATAGCATTCAAAACCCCATCAAATCACAATTTTGACCCACATTAAGTATCACAACTGAAACCATATCAAAATCATAACTGAAACCGTATCAAAATCATAACTGCAAAACCAGGCCAGAAACAAATCATAACAAATCATATCTGAATCATATCAAAATCATTTTTAAAAAAAATGAAAAGCCTCCATCCTAGAGACTGCGGATGTTATAAGACTAGAATAGAATTGAATAGACTAGCCGAGACTAGACTCTATACTACGTAGAGTACAATAGAACAGAATTCAAAACAGAGCAGATTAGATTAGATTAGATTAGATTAGATTGAACAGACTAAAGAGATTAATGAGATTACAGAGATGGAAAAAGATTAAAGAGATAAGACAGAGAGATAGAGACATATATAGATAGAAAGATAGATAGATAGACAGACAGATAGATAGAGAGGTAGAGAGTTAGAGAGATAAGAGGGATAAGAGGGATAAGAGGGATAAGAGGGATAAGAGGGATAAGAGGGATAAGAGGGATAAGAGGGATAAGAGGGATAAGAGGGATAAGAGGGATAAGAGAGATAAGAGGGATAAGAGGGATAAGAGGGATCAGAGGGATAGAGAGGTAGAGAGATAGATAAGATTACAGTAGATAAGATTAGATAAGATTAGATACGATTAGGTGAGAATAGATAAGATTAGATAACGTTGGATCAGATTAGATGGGATTAGATAAGATTAGATAAGGTTAGATCAGGTTAGATCAGATAGATAAGAATAGATAGACACGAGTAGATAGATAAGATAAGATAAGGTAAGATTCGATTAGATTAGATTAGATTAGGTTAAGATTAGATAGGCTTAGACTAGATTAGATAGGATAAGATAGGATAAGATAGGATAGGATAGGAAAGGATAGGAAAGGATTAGATAAGATAAGATAGATGGATGGACAGGTAGATCGATAGATAGAAAGATACGATAAGATAAGATAAGATTAAATTAGGTTAAGATAAGATGAGATAGGATAAGACAAGATAAGATAAGATAGATGGATGGATAGATATATAGATAGATAGGGAGGTAGAGAGATGGATGGATGGATGGATGGATGGATGGATGGATGGATGGATGGATGGATAGATAGATAGTTAGATAGATAGATAGACAGGTCGATGTCAGCTGTCAACATATTCCATGATCGAAGATATCAGAAGATGTGAAGATATTAGATATTAGATATTCGAAGATATCAGATATCATATACTATATATGTATGTAAATGTTGCTATAGATATAGAAATAAAATGTCCGACGTCAGATATTGGATATTAGGTATTCACAATTCAGATATGTCATCTGTTAGATATTGGACAGTCAAAGATATCAAACATTCAAAGATCTTAGTCAATCTATCGAAACGTACAATCTAATCCCAAAACAGGGCCAACTTCAGAAGTCTTTTGAACCTTTTTGGGGAATATTTTATATGCTAGGGTCAAGTTACATGTTTTTTTTTTGGTTTCTGGCCATCCATCCCATCATGGAAATCCAAAATGGAATATAAATCCCTCGTAGATTCCCAACCATTTCCCATGCCATGTTTGTCGATGACCGGAGGACAACCATCATCTTTGGTGGTTATCAATGTTTATCTCAGTATACCCATGGTATGTCCATGTTATCATGTTATAGCCATGCTATATCCAGGTTCTCTCCTCTTGTGCTCGCATCGCTTCGGAGATCTCCAGCAAGGACGCCACCGGTGGGCGCACGGCCTGGACATGCCGCAATAAGGCAGGGATTTGAACGTATGGTAACAATATATGGAACCCAATCACAATATATTGTGATTATGTATGTACATACGTATAAATATTTACACATATAATCATGTATATATATATATATATTGGTAGATGGTATGTTCTGCATATATATATATATGTATATGTATGTATATATATATACAATTATATATATATATACATATTGCAGTATACTCGGCACAGTGTGCACATGTAATCGTATATGCACATACACACCACCTTGGGCATGATTTTGATAAAGGATTGTCGAACTTGGCAAGTTTTTAATGAGAAATATGTCAACTTTCGGACGTGAAACGACCCATACCTCCAGGTCTGCATGATTCTGGACATACGACTCGACCCAAAGTCTATGGTATGTAATCTGAAAATGTTAGAGTGACCCCCCAAAACGATACAAAAATATGTTGTCACTATTTATATAATATAGTTTATTCTCTTGTATTGTTGATTCTTTGGGCGAAAAGACTAAATCCAATATACATGGCAACATGGTTTTCGGATGTTGGGGGATGGGATTACTTTCTATTAGGAAGATAGGGGAGCATACGGGAACCAAGCATGCAGCGGTTCCTGAGGGGTGGGAACCGAAATCCCCGAACCGAGGAAGTCTAAGCAACTGTTGCGGATGTTGATTCCCATAGGACCCAAGGGTCATTTCGCCCCTGCGCATCCTGGTTTTCTTGTTCCACAGAGGAAACTGAACAGACTGAGTTGTCGGCAAAGCTGTTGCCAATGCTAGGGTCTTCCTTTTTCTGACAGGATTTTTTCAACTTTCCCCTCAAAACAGGTTAAAGCCCAAATGCTGACTTTGAATCACATCAACGCGTCCTCCCCTTAGCCTTGGCAAGCCTCATCTGGCCCAGGGGTAAGTGACGAAAGCTAGCTTAGCACAGAGTTTGGCATGAAAACACCCAGTATATACTCGCAAACTCATCTGCATTAAAGCATATGTTGTCCAAGACAAGGCTTTCCAGGTCTTGGTATAGAATGGACGGGACACATTGAACGGGGATCAATGCCATATATGAAGAGAACACAAATATATCACGCGCGTGAACATAATGAGGAAACTCCAATCGAGTAGCGTGGCGGTCACTAAACAAAAAGAAGAGTCAAGGGTCCACCTTCAGCATCGGAGTGGGGCTTTCAAGGCTTAGAAGTTGCAAGAGAAGAAGATGTTGGAAGCGCATCTATGTTGGACGTCATGAGGACAAGAAGCAGAAGCATGCCAATGCAATTGCTCCGGAAGGATCTTTATCTTTGCAAACTCATCTGTATGAAGGAATATTATTTCCAAGACAAGCTTGCCATTGTGAGAACTGACTGGAAACTACATGTGAAGGTTCAAAATGAAAATGAAGCTACGTCTTAGGGCTCGCCATGAACATGCCGATAGTGAGCAACGCTGCACCAGTGACTTGAAGAATGCGACATGCCGGCTGCATCCCGGGGGTGGATTGAGCCACGGCCACACTGCTTGTAAATCAGCCAGGGGGAGGGCGGAGGTAGTTCACTATGAAGATGGAGATTCCAGCCCCCTCAATATCTTGCTAAAGCAAGAGGGACTTCAGCTAGCAGAAGCTAGCTCTCGTGATAAATTCCAAACCTGCCTGGAATCAAATTCGCCTGGATAGCAACAATTCATCAGCCTGAAATAAGGCCACCTATCTTCCGTTCCACTATCTCTGGGCCTTGCTCGACCGAACTCTCCCTTCCAACCCTTCCATGGATGGTTCAACTGGAAACTGCCTTCAATTTGCTGGCTATTCCGAGAGGATGCATCCAGTCCAATGAAATGCAGGGCATTCAATGGGCTTCATGCCAGATATGGAAGATATATTCTACCGGCTGAATTGTCATATTCTGTTCTGGTTTCTGCTCTGGTTTCAAGTGGTTACCCTCCAGTAGTCAATGAAACATCATTCAACCACCATGAAACCACCATTCAACCACTATTGAAACACCATTAAAACACGTTACAAACACCATTGAAAACACCATTTAATCCCTTCCTCCCACAGAGCCTGGGTCAAGATCTTCGTGGAGGCACTGGTGGCCGCAATGGACCCGTTCATGGCCAGCCAGACACCCACCATGCCGAAGATGATGCAGGAGAAGACGCAATTGTTCCTGGGCATTTCACCAATTTGATGGGATTTTCATATAGGATTTGATGGGAAAATCGTGGGATTTCATGGGAAAAACATGGGAGTTTTGCTGGTACATCTAACCAGCAATTTGGCATCTGAAGGGCTTTGACCTCAACAAACATTGGGGAGTTAACCAGCTCCCCAAATATGGTGATATATTGGGATATACCAACAGTTGTAACCCTGGGGATAACGCTTACAACAGTAACCAAGGAGGTGAATCTCATGGAATTTTCCATTGGTAATATCATGGGATCGTTCATGGGAATATACATGATATATGTGATTGAAAACAATTCTGGATATATGATATTTAGGTGTGTCTGAAGGGACTGGTGGTATAAAGGGGAGAAAATTCATCAACCAAACATGATGTGAATCTCATGGGATTTTATGGGAGTTCATGGGATCTAATGTGAATATCATGGGATATCTAACCAGCAATATTTTATCTGAAGGGATTTTGAACATTGCGGATTCAAACAGCAAAAATGGTGATATAATGATGACAAATTTGGGATCTATGATCAACAATTTGATATCTGGGTGTGAAAATAGGGTAAGCCACCAATAGTTGGTTGAATGATACCAAGAAGAATAAAGATTTGAGCATTCAGAAGTCGGGCTTATTGGGATCAGAATAATGTGTGATTCTGAGAGTGGCGATATTATCAAACTGGGTTTCTCCAACAATGGAGGATTGGTCCCGTATGGGCCAACGATGCATGAAAAATCCAATCGGATGGGTTACCTTATTGGAGGCCTGTTGATATTTAGCCTCATTGCAAAGTCCAACTTTCTCTATTTTTCTCAGGTTTTAGTTAGACGGTTCTTGCAAAATTATGTTGCGCCTATTTTTGATTTATGTGTGAATATAGTGTTACATTGATGATGTTCAGGGGGTGGGTGGGGTGGGGGTGGGATGTTGACGTTCATGTACATGTTACGTTGGTGATGTTACGTTGATGATGTTGTTACTGGGGTTGGTGATGTTACGTTGATGATGTTCAGGGGTTGGGTGGGGTGGGGGTGGGATGTTGACGTTCATGTACATGTTACTTACGTTGATGATGTTCAGGGGTTGGGTGGGGTGGGGGTGGGATGTTGACGTTCATGTACATGTTGACGTTGATGATGTTATGTTGATGATGTTCAGGGGTTGGGTGTGGTGGGGGTGGGATGTGACGTTCATGTACATGTTACGTTGGTGATGTTTACGGTGATGATGTTCAGGGGTTGGGTGGGGTGGGGGTGGGATGTTGACGTTCATGTACATGTTACGTTGATGATGTTATGTTGATGATGTTCAGGGGTTGGGTGTGGTGGGGGTGGGATGTTGACGTTCATGTACATGTTACGTTGTGATGTTACGTTGATGATGTTCAGGGGTTGGGGTGGGGTGGGGGTGGGATGTTGACGTTCATGTACATGTTACGTTGATGATGTTATGTTGATGATGTTCAGGGGTTGGGTGTGGTGGGGGTGGGATGTTGACGTTCATGTACATGTTACGTTGATGATGTTACGCTGATGATGTTCAGGGGTTGGGTGGGGTGGGGGCAGGATGTTGACGTTTATGTACATGTTACATTGATGATGTTACGTTGATGATGTTCAGGGTATGGATCAATTTCCTGGAATCCACCCCCGTGGTTCAAAGAAAATCACTGGTGCTTGTGCGATGCTCATCTCTTTAAAAAATATGGTCGGGAAGAACATGTTTGGGAAATCCAGCAAAAAGACTAAGTGACTCGGCAGATAGGTAGGCCAATCCCTTCGTTTTCCCTCACTTCTGACTGACAAACCGTGGGCCGATTGGCTGGATCAAGACTAGATCAAACTGTGCTCACGTCGAGAATGTAGTGCTTCACGGTTTCAAACATGGGGGATGTTTTTTGCACCCACCAAAAATAAAATATGTTGAACAACTCCAGAATTGGGATCTAGCAGACTAAACATGGCAGCAACAAGTGAGTTTACCAAGTAAAAATGAGGACGTCACTGACAACCATGCAGTTCTAATCCATACATTGGAGGACAACTGCATTGTACAGAGACAGATGTGTGAAAATGGTTAGCTTCAGGACTGGGGGTACGCCCACAAAGTAGGTTTTTAACCAAAATGGGAGAGGAAACACCAAATATCTGGGTAAATCGGCAAATTAAAAAACACTAACCTGAAAAAAAACCATGATTATATGATGATTCCCCTGATAATTTACCCAGAAATATACCTCAAGGATCCCCAAGGACCTTACAACCAGCACCAGCGATCCGAGGCGCCAAATCACCAGCAACCACGGGGGTTCCATGGGAAAGGTGGGATAGCCCACAGCCATGAAGTTCATCACCTGCAATAGCCGCTGCCCGTTTTGCCCCTACGTCCGTCCGAGGAACAAAAAAAAGAACGTGAAAGGCGGAAATCCAGTGAGTCATCTATATATATATATATACTAGAAAAAAGAAGTCAATCTTGCAGTTGCGTGTGCGTGTTACTTGTTTCTTGGGAACCCCAACTTCATGATAAAAACTGGAAAACACCAGGTGCCCAAATCCAAGCCTCGTCCTCCAAAGATCGCACCTTCTCCTTCTTTTCGTCGGCGACTCGAAAGTCTTCGAATTTGAGCTGGAAAAAAAAAACAGCTGCAGTGCTGCAAATCTGGACAGTTGAACATGCGTGCAAATCTATCTGCACATGAAATCAAATGCTACATGAAATGCTAAAAATGGTTTGTGCTTTCTGCACTCCCCCTTGACTGGTCCGTCAGGGCACAGTCACAAGCTCAAACTGCCTATCCTGGAAAATCAGTGCAGTACATGCACCCGCGAAATTCAGAGGTGTTTTCCAATTCTCGGGCATCTGGCGTCTGTGTGAAGAGTCTGACCCGATGTCAGCAAGAGCAGTGGAGATCCTGGTGGTGGACGTCCTCGCGTTCGCATCCCCACCTCCTTACAGAGTTCACACCATGAAAACTTTCTCGCACATCCAGTTCTCGGACCCTTCAATTGGGTGCAGGCCCGAGTTGAATGATAAACAGTTTCACATGGTGTCCTGAACACGTCAAAGCCCAGGTCTGCATCTTGATGATTTTCATTGACGTACGGAAAATGACCCATCCTTCCGTACTCTCTCCACAGCTCAACCTCTTCCTCTGCAATCGTTCTGATGGTGGCTTCGATTCTTTCAGCCATGCTATCTGATGTCTCTCCACTTCCAGAGCTTGACGACGGCTCTGTGCTTGGGCCAGCTTGGCCAAGTGAGGCGTCGCTCCTCACATTTTGTGTTGGCCCGGGCAAAGCTGTCTCCTCTACAGCAAGCCCTGGGCTAGCCTGCGCGAGCTGGACCAGGACCCTCTGTCCCGACCCGTCCTCAGCGCGGCTCAGTGGTGGGTCTCCACCAAGGCCGGGCACAGCTGTAGCATCTACAGTGTAGGAACCTACAGCGTGCCTCCAGCCGGCCTGCGCGAGCTGGACCAGGGCTCCTCTCCCCGACCCGTCCTCAGCGCGGCCCATTGATGTCGTCAACTCCTCAATGTTTGGCCTTCTGACCTCAGGTTCTTCAGGCTCCGCAGGGAGACTTCGGCCCTCGCCGCCAAGCAACCAATTCCTCAAGCTACTGCAGGCTGAGCTTACTCCTACCTTCCACAAAGCTTGAAGACCCAAGGTGGCCATCACAACCAAAATGGTGTAGATCATCATCAGCTGATTGAATTCGGCTGAAGATTCTTCCTCTTCATCATCCATGGCTTTTGACATCTGCAAAGTGGCTGCTAAAGTGATCAGCCGCAAAGCCAAAGTGGCAACTTCTGGTCCCTGTGGCTGTGAAGGGATCTTCTTCCCCTTCTCTTCATTCTTTCCTGCATCCTCAACTTCCACATGCCCAGTCTTTTTCATGCCGAGCATTTCTTTGAGAAGCTCCAGTCGCGTCGATGCCAGAGCTTTGGTTCCGATGTCTGCTACCATGCGCTCTCCAGGCACGTGACCAACCTGCCAATCACCCCTCAAGACTGCCTGCCTCGCAAATGACCAACGCAGGCGCAAATGTCTGGTGCGCCAGCTCCCTCCTTCTGCCAAAAGGATCGCCAAAGCAGCTTGAGAATCGCAAAGTGCGATGCGGTTGACCTCGGCAAACAACTCGAGATGATGGCATAGACTGACTCGCCCGCCACCATCGCCTCCACCAGTTCCGTGAGCTCCGACTCTGCCGTGCTCAAGGTCACCGCAGATTGGCGGCCACTTCTCCAAAACATTGAACTTCCATTGGCCAAAACAATGACAGACCCATGCGACTCATCTGACTCCGGGGCAAAGCTTGAGTCTGAGTAGACGTACAGGTTGATTGGGTCTTCCGGTCTTTCCTCAAACCTCAATCTCTCTTCCAAAGTGGCCTTCAAATACAGCCTCATCTGCTTGGCTGTCTCTTGTATGGCATGAGTGGACTTGAGAACACTCGCGCCCATTCTTGAAACTCCAAACATCAGGTCTGGTCGTGTACGAGTGACTAACCAGAGCAGCTCTCCAATGACCTTCTGACATGACTTGACCCCTTCTGGTGTCGGTGTGGTCACGTCCTGACTCATGGCAGCTTGATCCCTTGTGATGGGAATCTTTCTCACCTTCTCTCCATCCTCATACCTTCCAAGAAGATCTCTGATGGAAGCCTGTTGATTCAGACTCCAATGCATTCTCTCCTCCCCCTCTGCCAAACAACGGGTGATCTCAATGCCCAGGAATCTGACTGGCTTTTCTCCGATCTCTTCTGGAACTGAGGTGCTCCAGGTCTGTTGGAGCTGCTGTGTCACTGACTCCATGACCTCCCTCCTGCCGGTGATCAGGATGTCATCCACATACGTCATGACCAGTCCAACCACCCGGCCATTGGAGACAAACTCATCCTCCAAATCTTCTTGAAAGCCCTTTCTCGAAACAACCACCTTCCAAAGATTCTGCTCCGACTCCATCTGTTTCAAGACCAGCATCTCTTTTCTGCCATCCAACACAACCGAAATCTTCATGTCTCTCATGGTTCGGTCACGGTGTAGTCCCCACAATCTTGGAGATCTTCGGAACCCGTAAACCGCCCTCAACGGCAGAAAAAGTGCCTCTCCTTTGAAAAACTTGGCCTCTCTCAAAACATGTGGAGCCTGAACCAGCAGCAAATCCTCCTCAGGCGACTGCTCCATTTCAGCATTCAAAAACGCTGTGCGCACATCAAGCACGCATCCACACCAACCCATCTTTGTTGACGTCCAAACCAAAAGACGCAAAGTGGTCGCGTCTGCGCCTGTGGAGTAGGTCTCTTCCCCCTCCTTTTTCTCTTCATAGTTCCCGCAGACAACCCACCTGCTCTTCAACTTCCCACCTGGCTTGATCGTAAACACCATCTTGGAGGGCAAGATTTCCAACTTCTTTCCCTCTTTCTGCGCTTGAAGCTTCAACTCCTCAACTTCTGCCTTTGTCAAAGGCTTCAGAGCTGACTTCTCCACCGTCAAAGATTCCACCTCGCTTCTGATGGAAGGTTCCCACTCACTTCAGTTTCGAAGGACCTCCTTGGGAGAGATGATCTTGGTCTGCAAAATCTCTTCATTCTCCCCCTGTTCCTCCACCATCTTTCTCAAGCGTCCCAAAATTCGGACCTCATCTGCTGCAATCTCAGGGTCCTCGTTGGTGAGAGTCTGCATTTCCTCCTCAACCAACTTCATCACCCTTCGAACTTCAATCTTCTTTTCCTCTTCTTCAACTTCTTCGGAACTCATCAAGGAAGCATCCATCTTTCTCAAGGTGGACTTACCTCTGATCCTCCTCCTCTGCTCCTGAGCATCTCGGCCCTCACGTTCAACTGCAACCCAGACCGTATCATCCTCAGGCTCTGTCGTTGGCGCCAGGATGTACCTCGTCAGCCTTGGAGCTTCCAGACTTGTAGATCCAATGGCCATGATTTTCAATGGAAGGGCAGAGATACTGCACTGTCTCCACACGTGACGACAAATCGTCCTTCTTCCATGTTCTTTTCCTCACCCTCACTTCTTGAAGGAATCTAGGCCAATCCGGCTTCGTTCCCATTCGAATGCACCTTTGAACCTCATTGGAGTATCGTAGTGCCCAGGGCCACCATTTCGCATCCACCGACGCCTGTCTCAGCGTCCGTCTAATGTAATTCTTGAAGGCCTTCACAGCAACCTCCGCTCTTCCATTTCCACGAGGATCATCACCTGCCGTTCTCGTCAGGTAGATTCCACGCTGCAATGCCCACCTCCTGAACTCACCCGCAAACTCGTGGCCCTGGTCTGAGTGGATCCTCCCAACGTGATACCCCTCTGACCTCAAACGCAAGACAAACTCCATCACCGTGGCCACAACTTCTCTTGCCTTCTTTGATTTCATCGGCAAGGCCATGCGAAAGACTCGCAATTCAGTGGCTTCCTCCAATGTCGGAGGGCCATGGGTCTGGAGCGGCTCAGCTGGCTCTGCTCCTTCACCTGAGAGCTGGACCAGGGGTTCACCCCCCGACCCGTCCTCATCAGGGACCCCGCCAGGGTGGCTCCTCTCATCACCCGGCGCTTCACCGGAGAGCTGGACCAGGGCTCCTCTCCCCGACCCGTCCTCATCCGGTGGAACTTCATCCTGAACCTCATCATGAATTTCACCATCTTCTCCTTCTGCTTCAATCGTTGGAGCGTCATCTGGGAGATCCTCTTCTGGTGGATCCTTCAGCTTGTCTGTCCCTCTAGGCACCCTCCATGTCAAAGCACCCACAAGGAAATACCGTGCCATAGCTCCACCGGAGTCATAGGCTGGCTTCAGTGGACCAGCAGTGTCTATTGACAGCGCACCTGCCAGTGGATCTCGAACTCGACGATGCGGGGCACACTGTTGAGAGCTCTCCTGACATACTCTGCAGTCACGTCGGTAAGGAGCGTGTCTGAACTCCAAATGTTCCTCCCATGTCAAGGACTTCAGTTTCATGCCAGACTGACATACCTGTTGAATCAGCGCTGAAGACACCATAGACATCACTCCCGGAGCCCACCTTGACAAATCAGTTGAGCTCGAGACCTTGACAGGGCTCCCAAAACTCCTTCTTTGGACGACATCCACGTTCAGCTCCAAGTTTCCACCAAACGTTGTAGGTTTCGGAGAAGCTCCTCCCATAGCGCCCTGCTTGAAAGTGATCTCTTCCAAGGCAAACTCGCTCGCAATCGCCTTCCACTCCTGGGTGTCCCAGAAACTGACAACCTCTGGCATATAGTCCCTTGGCGACGCTGGTTGTTCAAGTCCAAACGCCACCCAATCATCCAACTTTCTCGCCCTTCTCATGTAAGTTGACAGCATGAAAAGAAAAATGCATCGCCACATCATGATATCATCCTCATGCAACTTCTGAATCTCCTCCTCCGTGGCCTCTTTCACCCCAAACTCTTCTCCACCCCATCTCCTGATTGGGCGAGGTGCGTTGGGCTGCCCCGGAATTGGAACATGACGAAGTAGGCTGCGTGTCCTGCAATTTGGACCAGCCACCACGGCCAAAACCTTGGACTCAATCGCGGCTCGAATCAGGCCAGCATAGACACCCTCATCTGTCATAACATCGTGGTGTGAACCTCTCTTCAAATCCACCTCCAGCAGCTTGTCATCAGGTCCACCCAGCTGACGTAGTGCCTTCTTCAAAGTAAAACCAGAATCAGGTCCAGCAAACAAATGAACCATCATCCCATCCCGTCGCCACCTTTTCCGCTGATGACGATTTCCAGGAAGGGCAGACCACTCTCCTGGACAGACCACAAGTTTCTCCTTGATGTACTCTGGGAGAGACGACAGCACTGGGTGTTGTTCCACCAATCTTTTCATCCAGCACACCTCCTCATCGTATTCACCAAGGGTCTTTGGTATACCAACCTTCGCATCTTCAATCTCCGCAATCAAATCCAATGCTATAGACTTTGCAAGATGTGGGCATCCCTCCTTCATCTGAATTGGAATGTCCCCTTTTTCTGGATGCCTCAACTGCATTTCTCCATGACTCCAAACAATCTGGCACCCCAGCACCTCCGTCAGCTGTCCCATCGGCACAATCGGCTCAATTGCCGGCGAAGGGGCAATCATTGACCCTCCAGGCGCCATGCGTAGCCTCACAGCTCTTCCATCCGCTAGGCCAACATCAACCAGTGGATACTTCTGGACATTCTCACCATCTCTGCGAGGGCGAAGTGCATGAGTCGCCCCTGAATCAACCAATCCCACATCAGCTCCTGTGGCCAATCTCCTCATCTTGAAAGCTTTCATGGCCTTCAACTGTTGCTGAAGCCTTTCCATCACATCTTTGCGTTCATCCTCCTGAGTGCTTCCCCCAGAAGACGCTTGGCTTGAAGATGGTTTTGACGACAAACACCTCAGCATCTTGTTCGCCTCCTCCAAAAGATCTTTCACTGCACTGTCTGAGCTAGCTTGGCTGCTAACTTCAGGATCCTTTCCTGACGATCCCTTGTCCTCCCCCTCGACCTTTGCCACTCTGGGTTTGGTAGGGCTCGTCTCAGATGATGGGCCCCTCGATCTGGTGCAGGAAGGAGACAAGTGATCCACGCTGCCGCATGTGTAGCAACCTCTCTTCTCATCTCTCACATCATGGCTAAATCCACATTCTTTTCCTTTCCGACATCCTCCATCAGTGAGGTAAAACTTGCATTTGGGCTTCTGCTTCTCGTCACCCTCCAGCCTGTCTTTACCTTTGCCTTTCCCTTTGTCCACCTCCATGGCCTTGAGCTTCACATCGCCCTTCGTCCCCACGGAAGCAGCTCTTTTTTCTGCTAAGGAAACCTGCTCAACCTCTGCCAAGAGATATGTTGCAAACTGGTTGAGGGTGATGTCGGTAGGTCTTGTGTCCACTCCAAGGGAATTTCGCCAAGCTAACCCGAAATTGAAGTTCTTTGTTGGACTCCAGCACCTTGCGGGTAAGTTTGTTCAGACCCTTGAAAAGGAGTGCAGGGTCCGGAGTCACAGCACCTATCTCCTGAGACCGCAACTTCCAGCGAAGCCATCTTCTGATCGCTGAAGGAGCTTCGGCCATCGTTGCAACTTCCATAGGATCCTCCAAACTGCGGAGCAATGTTTGCTTCTCCAGCACACCGCCCGGGCAGTAGGTCAGCAACAGCTGCGTCAGAATCCCAAAAACGCTCAATCTTCTGGCCGAAATCAGCTCCTCCTTCACCACTTCGGGAACTGCTTGAAGAAGAAGTGATGCCATCCGTCGCTCCAATCTCGACCATTTCTCCAAGTTCACCTCTTGCGGTGGTCTGACATCGTGTTGAACTCTGTCCAATGGAGACATGGCCATATGTCTTTGATACCAGTCCTCCGCCGACTTCACCATCAATGCCCACCACTTCTCCGATGTGGCTGACAAATCAGCTGCAATTGGCTCCACTGTCAGCAGCCAATCTCCAAGTTGTAAAGGTCCTTGACTCGGAGTCCAGGGTTGTAGAGTTGGCAGATCAGGAACGCCGGTTCTCACAATCTCGACGCCCCTAACCATCCCTGATTCCTCCTTCGACTCACTGACCTTCTTCTGCAAGTCCTTCATGGTTTCCATCATGATCATCATGAACTCAATGGATTTTTCGGTGAACGTGGCTTCACCGGACTGGGGCACACTTCGACCAGAGCTCGGCTTCTGCGCACCTCCTTCTGAATCCTCAGTTCTCCCTTTTGGGGGTCTTTCAGCCTCCTTGGGGGTCTTAAAGCCTGCAGCCTCCTTGAACTCTGCAGCCTCAGGGAGGAATGGTGGTCTGCCAGCCTCCTTGGAACTTTCGGTCTTCTCAGTGCTTCGTCGCCTCAGCCAGTCTTGATCGTCCTCCGGATGACCTGAGTTCGGCTTCGAAGTCTGTTCCTCAGGAGTAGAAAACCTAAGTTCTTCTTCTTTGGAAACTTTCTCATCACCATTCACCTTGGACCTCAACCGTTGATTCTCTGCTGTCAACGACTGGATCTGTTTTCTGAATTCCTCCTTTTCATCTCTGTCCCTAGCCATCTGAGACTTCAAAAATTCCACATCTCTTTCCATCTGACTCTGCGCAACTCTTGGGGCGTCAACATCCAAAAACGTAGGACGCGGAACAGAACCAGTGAAAATGGACTGTGGGTTTCCGTACAGCCATGGTGCTTGGCTATGAATGAATGCAAAATTCCGCAACTGCTCTTCTGAAAACAACGGAACTTGTGGACCCAAAAACCCTCCTGGAGTTGCAGCCTCTGACATCGGTCCTCCAGGAGTTGCCATCTCGCTCCTCAGAGGTCGTTCCGCAGTCAAAGACCCTGATTCCACATTTTCATTCATCTTCTGGTCGCGCATGCCGTAGGAGGTGTCACCGTTACCCAGCTCAGGTGGTTGAGGTGGCGGATCAGTGGGCGGCTGCAGTGGCTTGCTGGCTGAACCCTCGTCTGGACTTCTGGCTGGGGTACCCTTAGGGTTATCCCTCTTATCCTCAATGGGTGGGGACATCATAGCCTCAGCTTCTTCACTAGTCCCTTTTTCGGGTCCATCCTCTAGTGCCTTTTCACCTCTCTCTACAGCCTCCTTACGAAACCTTGCATCAGCCAACCTGATCTCCTCCTGACCCTGTTCTAGTTCTTGGGCGGTGGCTTTTCTCCTCCTAACATCTGCCATTTCTGCCTTTGAATCCTCTTTGAAACTTCTAACCAAAGGAGATCTTCAGTGGCCTCCTTGGGCTCATAACCTGGAAAACACCAGGTGCCCAAATCCAAGCCTCGTCCTCCAAAGATCGCACCTTCTCCTTCTTTTCGTCGGCGACTCGAAAGTCTTCGAATTTGAGCTGGAAAAAAAGCAGCTGCAGTGCTGCAAATCTGGACAGTTGAACATGCGTGCAAATCTATCTGCACATGAAATCAAATGCTACATGAAATGCTAAAAATGGTTTGTGCTTTCTGCAAAAACCATGGTAAAAACCAGTGGTTCCTCTAACGTTTTCCCCGGAGAATAAACTCAGTGATAGGGATACCATCCCCCAACTAAGATAGACCCTGCCAAAATAGGGGAGTGGAAGATATCTTTTCTTTAAAAATTGCTAGTTCTCACGGTCTTTCTTGAGTTGGGGATGGTAAGGTTAGCCAAGATATTGCCAAAATATAGCCAGATCTGCCCCTGGCTACTCCGCTACTCCAGTGGCCAAAGTTGGGTCTAGGATCATCCACGGGTGAGCTTGGTGAGCTGTGGGACAAACGGAGACCTACTGTAACTGATTTAATATCAAGGGAGAAAGTTTTTGCCAACGATAGATTGTATCATTCCAATTTCCATCAACTCAATCAACCATACACTGCAGTTTTTTCCCCGAGAAATTCATCATCATCAAAGAATTAAGAACGAAAATCCGCCCGCTGGTCCCATGGCTGCCATTCGCATCAACGCGCATCTGACGGGGCACTGAAGCAATAATCAGGGTGCCCACCACCATATAGTTGTCCATGTTGGCCCGGGTGCACTCGAAGACATCGCGGACGTCTTCACGAAAAAGGTTCCACAGTTCAATGCGCATGTCCTCACGTTGAACCCGTTGGATCGTGCCAAGAAAAGACCAGTGCTTAAGCAAATTTAAGCAATGCTTTACGAAAAAAATGTTGTCCAGACATCTCAGCTATTCCTTTCCCGTCGAATTGAGTCTTTGTTTCGAGAGAAGAGTTTGGAGTCATCATGGTGCTGAAGCAATCAGGACCTTACCAAAATCAGGACCGGCAAATAAAGGTCCCAAAGACCATGGCTGCCATTGCTTTGGGGTTTCTTCGGAAATCAGCTGGTTGATTTGTTTTTTTGCGCCCCAGGTTTGTTCTGAAGTTATGACAGCTGCCGTCCTGGTAGTGGTGGAGGCATTCCTGTCGCTGCAAGGCATTGAACTTGAAGCGACCCAAGTTGTAGCTGTAGGCATAGGCTGCCGTTCCAACCAGCGCCGCCACGCCCACCGCAAACATGGCGCGGCTAGCTTCGACAGCCAGACTTGGGCGTTTTGTGGAAACGATGCCGCGGCTGTTTGAAAAAGCGACCGTTTTCTGAAAAGGGAAGGGACCCATAGTGTAATTGCAGCATGACTTTAGTGTTACAGCCTGAGATTTGGGAGGGAGCAATAATCTTAAGCAATACCCGGAGAAGTTGTGCGGAGAAGTTGTGCGGAGAACTTGTGGCGAATCAGATTTGGGCTCAAAGTTGCTCTCAGATGTTCGCAATAAACCCCAATTCTCTACTAAAAATATCGTCTCAAACGTCTCAAACAGTCCTGTCAGTCTGCGCTTTCCTGGCTTCTGAAAGTTCACTTCGTACCCAAGCTTGTGGCATATATTCCATGCGCAACGATTGTAATGGTCATGTCCCCAGTTTTGCTCATTTGACCATGGCCACTAAGTGGACTGCAATGATCTGCTGGGGTCAAGAAGTTAAAAGAAGCTGCGAAGTCAATGCCAGATGATATCTCCTCAACCTGGACCCACAAAGGGTGACCATGTGAAATCTCAACGGCTAGTCACCACTAAACCACAGCTACAACAATTGCGGCAACCACAACCTCTTGAGAATCAGGTTTTTTTTAACCACAGGACAATGGGACCAAATTGCCGGTGGCACTGTTGCGATGATCTGAAATCACACATAGGTCAAATTGGTTCCTCTTTGTTGAAAGGTCACATTGGTTCCTCTTTGTTGAAAGGTTGCTGGGTTAAGCTTGGGAAAATTGAAACGCAACGGTACAACGACTGTAATTTCCAAATGCCTTGGGGCTTCCGGTCAGGATTTTCCCTCAATACAGTCTGAAGATTTATGGTAAAACTAACTTAATCATGGGTTTGTCTGAAAATAATGTTACCCCCTTGTTGTTGATGGTTTATCATCGTTTTCCCCTATTAATTCATGATCGTAAAAAAACGCCACAACTGGGGTGGTTTTTGCTCACCATTTCAGACAGCCCCATGGCCTCGAGCCATTGAAACAATTCTCCGATCCTCCTCATGAAATTCCTATGGATCTATGGGTTGTTTTCCCATTTCTATGGGTTATCATAATCCCCAAATGAGAAATTGTATAAGATGTTTTTGAGTCCCCAACTATTCACCATTCACCATCACCGAAAAATGACTGGTGATTACCATTCAACATGAATTCACCAAGAATTTCCTATCAACATCATGGTGACCACTTCCATCACCCACGCCTTGTGGTCTGTTCGGCATGACATCGGTGCAACATGGCACGCACCTCGGAGTCCTTCGTCAGATCCTGAGTTTATGAGATTTCCTGAAAAATGGTGGTTTCAATGGTGGATTAATGGTGGGTGAATGGTGGTTTAATGGGATTTGAAGGGATTCAATGAGATTTATATCATGGAAAATTCATGGGACTTAATGGTGCTTGTAGTAATGATTTAACTAACACAAATGCGGATTTACATTCCAGTAAACTGACATAGCTATGGAAGCCATGGCCATTTATAGAAGATTTACCTATTAAAAGGAATATGTTCAATGGTTGAGTTCGTTTAGCAGATTTTAGTATCAATTGGGGATTAGTACCATGGGATTCATCGCTCGGAACAAGCATCATGTTATTCTTGGTTGCTAGTTTGTCAACTAATCTGATGTCATTCCAATGAAGCAGTTGTGCTATATCATTTGGTTTCATCATCTACGTGGCCACTATGCCAGAGAAAACCAGGATAAGCCTTTTTACAATGATTTGATCTGATAATACCCTTCCAAAAGATACGCATTTTTTCACAACTTTCTATTGGTAAGAAGACCTTAGCATAAGTTTTGGCTCTAAACCTGTTTCACTTTGTATCGTATATCTGCTTGCTGGCCATGGCTGTATGTAGGCATATCCTAGGATATATTTTATTCCCCACATTGACGTGTGGGGTTTTTGTTTTTAGTTCTGTATCCGCTCCTCGTCCTCCTCCTCCTCCTCCTCCTTCCTCCCTCCTCACTCACACTCACTCACTCTCACTCACTCACTCTCACTCAGTCACTCACACTCACTCACACACACACATACCTCCTCACTCACACTCACTCACTCACACACACACACTCACTCACTCTCACTCAGTCACTCACACTCACTCACACACACACATACCGCCTCACTCACACACACTCACTCACTCACACTCACTCACACACACTCACTCACTCACTCACACTCACTCACTCACTCTCACTCACTCACTCACACTCACTCACACACACACACACTCACTCACTCTCACTCACTCACTCACACTCACTCACTCTCAAGGGGTCGGATGTACGCCCTGGCCGCTTTTGCGTGGCAGGCGTGGGACAATGTGCACTGCGCCTCGTTTGCGTGGCAGGCGTGGCACAATGTGCACTGCCAAGGGGTCGGATGTACGCCCTGGCGTCCCTTGGGTCTCCGCCTCTTTTGCGTGGCAGGCGTGGGACAGCGTGCACTGCCAAGGGGTCGGATGTACGCCCTGGCGTCCCTTGGGTCTCCGCCTCTTTTGCGTGGCAGGCGTGGCACAATGTGAGCAGCCAAGGGGTCGGATGTACGCCCTGGCGTCCCTTGGGTCTCCGCCTCTTTTGCGTGGCAGGCGTGGGACAGCGTGCACTGCCAAGGGGTCGGATGTACGCCCTGGCGTCCCTTGGGTCTCCGCCTCTTTTGCGTGGCAGGCGTGGGACAATGTGCACCGCCAAGGGGTCGGATGTACGCCCTGGCGTCCCGTGGGTCTCCGCCTCTTTTGCGTGGCAGGCGTGGCACAATGTGCACCGCCAAGGGGTCGGATGTACGCTCTGGCGTCCCTTGGGTCTCCGCCTCGTTTGCGTGGCAGGCGTGG